TTATGTAGCGATCGTATATTAATCTTTAGTAATGCGGTTACTTACATGAATATACTTAAGTGATTCATAGTTTGTACAAAGTACGAAAGTCAATTGGAAAATCCAAAGCAATGTGGAATAGGGGATAAGCCCGACGGTCTACAGACTAGGAACTCAATCAATACCGTAGAGAGACAATAGGCATCTCTTATTCAAAACGGAAACTATTACAGTCGTGTCATTGTATTCAGGGCCTCACCTCGCCAAGTAAATTATTCAAACGAAAAGTGTTTTGTTTTTTAAGAGTGGTTAAAAAGTGACTTACGAGGAATTATAGGTTGAGTATTTTATTATATAATCTGTGACATCACATACATATTAATTAAGCCATTACTGATATAAATGAACATACATTCACACATAATCATATTCATTTGTATAACATGATTAAATTAAATATATGTAATCCTATTTCCCCTATGTGGCGTTGGGCAGATATATTTCTGTATCCGTTACGATGATCGATTTCGAGAGACAGGTAGTTGATAATACTGTGCCCAATACGACCGAAATAATTTACCGTCTCTACGGCAGTAGAAAAATATTGAAAAATGGAAGATAATTTTCCATTCCATTCCTCCATTCCATCCATAAATTTCCATTACCTTTGAGTCTATGAGGCTAATATAATTAAGTTTAATAAAAACCCTTTGTATTGCTATAGATTTAAGAAATGTCATAGGTTTTTCGTGTGTGATAACTCGGGAATGCGAGCTGTCGATCGATGTCAACTGGAAAGATTTACGTCCTACATTGTCACAGAGGAGTTGTAATCCCGGATTATCCTTTGTTCCAAACATCGTACATTTTTGATAAGATTTATAGCCAACAAAGCAATAATGGAAACTTTCATCTCTTTAGACGCTGACAATATTAAACAGGGTTTGCTTCTAACGAGGGAGTGAGAAATATGTATGTAGGTATATGTACCTTATGCTTTAATATGCTTTAATGTTAGTATGTGCTAGAGCCATAGCTCTAGCACATACTAACATTACAAAGCTAAAAAATTGTTTGTTTGAACGCACTAATATCAAGAACTATTGGTTAGAATTTAAAAATGATCAGGCTGCAAGCAACTGCGGAGTGAAGAAGGCGGGGGCAATATGGAAAAAAATGGGAAAACGACGTCATGGGTACCAGCTACAACTTATAAAGATGAAGAGATTGTTTGCAAAAATAATTAATCAGATGCCCAAAATAACGTTTCCACGCGGACGAAGTAGGGGACACAGTTAGTCAATCTATAAAATATTAACAATTGTATGAAAGAATATGATATACATATATATAATTAAGTCCTTTATCCCGTACGGTCTTTCCGTTTCTTTCCACTGACAAATTAATTCGGCGCAACTTTTGATCTTCAATCTACAATAAACAGATGTTAGTTGCGTGTTGCGTCACACGGCAAATTGGACCATTTGAGCAAGTACTTATTATGAGCGACAAGATTCTCCCTAATGAAATGATTGTATCGATATTGTACATTAAAGCATAAGAAGGTAATTGAATTTCCTGCATCGAGCGCTGAATACAGTTTGATGTGTACCGACTGGGGGGGCGATTCTTAAAAGTGACATATTCTCATCGACGTTGCCGTAAACAAAAATGTTGTGATATCAGGCTGTATTGGCGTAAAACATATATCACTTTTGAGAGAATCGACCCCTGTACAAGTTTTCTCTGTCTATCCTCTCATATACCTCGCGTTAGGACGCAGGTTTGATGAAGCACTTCCTTCTGTTTTAATTATTTTTATTCTCTATTAATATACCGCCACTTGAGATAGTATTCGATGTAGTGTAGTTAAGTGTTCTCTAAACATATTTATTGGTAGTGGAGTATTTTAAAAATGATTCAAGAATCATCATACTTTAAAGTTATGTCTGTAGTTTACGCGAGAGTTTATATAAAACATCATAAAATTAACCGTTAAAAGTGTTTTATTCAAAACTTATTTTATAGATTTAAAATTATTTTTGCCACGTTTGCTCGTCGGCCAGATCAAAGTAAACAATACTTTAATTACCATAATTATCCTTGGAGTATTTAAATAAAACACTTTTTACGGCTTAAAACTCGAAAGCTGTTACTTTAACTTAGTAAATAATTTATTGCTGCAAAGCATTCGAAACGCCAGACCGTGGTTGAAATAAAATAGTAATTCATTTCACGTTTTCAACCGTTTAAAATTGTTATATAGTAATAAATAAGGCATTTCTATGCAAATTATTAACCAAACGAATCCTTTAAGAAACGCCGTGTTACAAGAAAATCTATTCGTAAGAGAGTTTATCGTACACGACAGAAATTCGCAGTAAGAAGTCCCAAATATTGAAATATCATTCTATAATTTATTCCGCAGAGTCGAAATCAATTTTCTAAGCAATCAGTTACAAGGATTACGCATGGCTAAATTCCTTATTGGTCTTCAAAGACGCGATCGAAATTGTAAGAGGTTTGATGTCAAATATTTGGTCAGTCGAATGAAAGTTCACTCGAGCAAGTAATTATTTCCATACTGTTCAGATGAGCACCATCGGCTCGTCAACGGACGACTTAAGTTTCCTGAACCTAGTCACATAATCTATATGAAGCAATGAATATGAAATAGGGACTTCTTTATCATTTATATACCTAATTCAATATATATTAACAGTGTATATGAAATACAAAAATACTAATTTTTTTAAATATTTTTCACATGATATTGCACATAATGGCACTTGTATAATTTAAAAATCGATTAAGAATCGAAAAAAATCGACCATGACGAATATAACTCGTAGCACGGAACGCTGTGGATGCTGGTTCAAGTCCTGCCCGAGTTCTAATTAAAAAAAAAATTAAGTATAATGTATTTTAGAATTATACAAAAATGCTGTTAATTAACACAGGTCATAACAAAAACTAGCCAAAACCACGGCGGTTTACAAATTTAAATACCCAACAGGGTATTAAATTAATTTTGAGTTACTTAGCTTTCAAATAATCATTAATTTATTTTTTAATATCCCATAACTGAACAAAATAGTTCTTCTAAGGAAATAAGTTTGTGTATTAATTTTACATATACCAATAGATGAAAAACGCTATTTAATACGTAAATTATAATACCTTTAACGTCTTTTTAAAAGATGAGTATTGATTTATAAGTCCTTGAAACATAATTTTTCACATAAAAAATTTATAGGGTGCGAATCAAACCAAGTAACACAACGTTTTGCCAAAATGTAGAGCAACATCAAGATATGCCATGGTTTTACATTTTGCCCTTTTTTGTTTTTAGGTTATAAGTAGTGAGTTTTAGTATGTTTCCTCAAGTCGTTAGGGTGCGGTAGCTAAGGAGGGGCCCCTCGATGCTATCTGTCCACCATTGTTGCGTGCACTTAACCGTCACATGTTCGACGAGCTTGTGTTACCTTGTTAACACATTCTAAAGGAAATTACATTTTTATACTATGGGAGAGCGTCAGATATTTCCGTTATCGATCATCGCTTTGCCGTGACCAATTGCCGTCATTAGGTTTGTCAATAAAAATAAAGTGCTACAAAATACCACATTATTATAATCGTTCTAGGAAAGGGCTAAAGTAGGGTCCGGCAGACACTTTTTGAGCCATCATAGTCCACGTCATTGTGTGTTCCAACTGCCAAACTATATAATTATATTGTTTTTGAAACCAGGATCTCTCGCTAGATTATTGCTACTCTTTGTGTCATTTTTTTTAACTCATTAAATTGAGCGCAAAAATAGAATCTTTTCATTTTAAAATATACATCTATATTTTAAAATGAAAAGACTTTTTTATGTATGAAATAGATAATCAGTAGCCCCATCTGTGACATGCAGTCACAGATGCTACTAACTGCTTTTTGGCTTTCTCAACATATTACGAGCGTAGAGCGATGATTTATTATTGAAATTGAAACACATCCGGTACTCATTTGTTACTACTGAAATCATTAAATTGCGAGGAATCACCAGGAATTGTTAATTGCGACAAATGAGTAGACTAAACAGATAATCGCCCTAACGCGTTACATAACGCATCTTATCTAACGTTAAGAAAAGTGTTTTATAATGGATAAAAGTGAAGGTATATTTTTTAGTAATCAAATATCGAATGAAATTATTACATATGCAAATATGAGTATAAAACTTTTTCATGTTTAAAAACGTCGAAGGATAATAATAGTTCGTATTTGCATATTTAAGTGTGTTCGTTCGTAAAGAAAGCGGAAGAATTTTATAGCAAAGACCCTGGAACCCCAGGGGACATCCCAAATAAGAGTCGCTAAATTAGTTTTGTGTAAGGCCTTACTTTAATAATGCTGTGTGGTCTGCGGAGAATTGCGGGGTTTCCGCACACTGTTTATATAGTCGTGCGATATGAAATGTTTTTTGGCTTCAGGCGGTTTATTATTACTTTGAAGCGGCATCGAGTGGGTACGACGGGGGGACGACGGAATGGGGTACGAGGTGGAGGTACAAGTATCGACAATTGATTCCAACTACTCTATTAAACGTAAACTTTTCCTCCTTTTGTATCGTGTACTTCTCAAGGATTTCCAATTAAAAATGAAACATTTCGGGTACGGTGACATTCGAAATTGGTCTTTCGGGATATAAAATACCAGTTAGCTGTCCGTGATAATTTCAAAAGTTGTAGGTTATAACTCTCTTTTGTGTCTTTTGACGACCTATAAGTACATACATATAATATACACTCGTATATATTCATTAAATATATTTTAACGTGAAATTTTAGTTATATGTTATACAAATTAATAGAAAAAAACAGTACAACCAAAATATATTCTTATGAAGAGCTTCTAATCACGCGTGTGTTAAAATTTTCCACTTCTAATAGTAGGGATACTTTTTTTTCTACTTTATCGTCTTGGCCGCAGTTATTTTGTCTTTAACATTTGTACACATTTAAGCTAATGCTTACCTCGGATCTACGAAGGGTTCCGCATAGATGTTTCTCACTGGCTGACGACGAGGCAACGGAGGAGGCACCGGACTGAATCCGTCCATCATGTCCTCCCGTTCGCTGTATTTCAGCGATTTCATCGTCATCTTGCTGATTATCAGTCCACTGCACAACTATAAGGCTCGGTAGGCCATCACTTTGAATCCCTTATCACTTACATCACGATAACACTGCTTTATTGTTTGTTAACATCACAATTTTAAAATTTGAATGTCTATATAATCTTGTGGATTCTCATTGGCGTTGTTGTTTGTTCATTTACTTGCTGTCAAATATGAAATATTATTTCCGTGTTGTATTTAGCGTTTAGCTCAGCGACGCCGCCTGCCTCAACGAAAGAGCGCGATAGACTGAAGCTTAAGTGGGAACGTAGCGAGACAGCCCCGCTCGACCCCCGAGCTTTGAAACTTTTTGCGCCCGCGCCGAGGTGCCATAAAAGCTCGCCGAGTTATTAGTTCGACAAAAAACACGAACCGAACGAAAGACGGCATATTGCAAGTAATAGACTTGACGCAATAGAATAGACGCTATCCGTTTTCGGCATGACGTGGTGCGGTTAAATTTATTTCAGCGAATATGTATTGTGTTAAGTGTGAACGATGCATTTTTTGTATATGAACAATTTTTTTTCTTCTTGTTCGGCGTCTTCTTTGTACAGATATTTATAAAGTAAAAGTGTGTGAGTTGTTATAAATAACTAAAAGTAGTGAGACGAGTTGAAAGGTGAATTTTAATAAAGAAAGATAATAGATACCTATCTAGCTTATTTCATACAAAAGAGCACAATATTAATTGTAAATTATCTTTAACTTCTAAACTATAGATACCTATTGAAATGCCTTGTTAGAATAATACCGATATACGAGATGAGTTCAAATGTAACAATTTATATTATTGGCGTAGAAGAATATTTTAGCGGGCACAGAATACGTAATTAAAAACAGTAAGCATTTAACAATAAATAATTAATTTGCGCTCCGTTGTGATTTGAAAAGCTACTTATAGGATGTATGGGGGTACGGCGTACGTAGACAGTTCATCAGCGGCGCCCTAGCTGAGCCAGAGTGGCGGCTGGTTGATCTCGACGCTTTGCATGTCAAACAATTACCCTCATACATTGTTCACGACAAATGCGACGGGCGTGCTCCCGTTACCCCTTCTATTTTATATTCCATGAGGTATTTGTTTTCGTTATTCAATATTAAACTATAGTATATAGCCGACGCTGTTTTAAATTGGTTAAGTTGGTTTATTTTGATCAGTATTCGACTAAAACAATACTTTCGTTATAGAATATGATCTAAGTTGAAAACTTTAATGTTTTCTACATGTGCAATCACATGATAGCATTATATAATTTATAATAAAGTTTGGATAAAGCATGGAACGCCACAGCGTTCCGTGCAGATCAGAAGATACAGGTTCAAACCCGCTCGTGTCGTAATTTAAGTCTATAGAAAATACTGTTTGTAGTTTACGCGAGTAGTACAAATTTAAATAAAACACTTTAAAACAATTTAAGGGTCTAAAAGGCGAAATATATTAGTTAAACTTATTTGACCTTCAATATAAAATCGTCTTTTAAAATCATGTTAAGTTATCGCACAATCAGTTTGAAATAATCTTCTCATGAAATCCTGATTGCGTTAAACAAATCTCTTCAGCTTTTTAATAATATTATATGACATAAATATAAAAAAAACTAGCTCGACTTATTTATCAAATGTTAGCTAATTCTTGCCCTCTGCGACCCACGACTTCTCACAAACAGTGATTCCGCAAAAGCGACCCTCAAATAGAAGGGTTGTGGTGAAATTATGTAAAACCTATCCTATGGGCCCGAATTATCCCTGAAGGATAAGGAATAAGAATATAAAGCAGGTTCAGATGAGAGTTTTCCATACGGATGTTTTTAAGCAGCGAGTGAAAGATTTACATATTCCTAGACGTGTACACAAGGTCTTACGCGGTGTCTTCATCTACTTGAATTATGAATTACAACTAGGACTGAAATCTCTAGTTTGTAAATGAAGTTCTATTTGTCTGTGTACTGTAATTTCATTTGTTATCATACGCTACTGTTACTTGACTGTAGGATAAAACAGATACTAGAATATTTTAGGTTATAGGAGCGTGAATGAATACTAATAGTTTTGTTGTTAGTTACATTGTACCAAGTCTACTAGCTTCTTGATTGTTACGCATAATAATACATAAGTAATAATAAAACATAATATTTTTGAGCAAGTCTTATCTATAGGTAAATAAAATCGATTAGTCAAATAACACAAAGGCAGGGCAATTTCTCATACAAAATATATTTTATAACGGAGAAAGCAAAAAAAGTGCTGCCAACCAAGGCGCTGTCTACCTATTACGGCTTTGGACATTTGGAAATCGATAGATTAAAAACGAAACATTGAACATTTCACGGGTTTTCTATTACTTGTTCGCGATCCGGATATCGACATTCGAATTCCATTCGCAAATAACAGGATTTAGAAAAATTATTGATAATGAAAAAAATTGCCTTCGCTTGAAATCGAAGCCGCGACTTGTTGATTAAATGCTGTACATTCAACCAGCCCGCTATTCAAATCTATGCACGTATTGAACATGCAGTTACTCGAAGCATAGTTGTTGTTTACTTATAAGGAACGACCGCATTACATCAATCGTTTTCCCACCACACTGATTTCTGACCTGCGTCTGTTTCTGATGTGTGGGGTCCTGTTATGTACTTGAACTTGCCCATATTGGTGCACTGTTATGTGTCATGGGTAACAAACAGATAATCGTTCATTCGATGTAATGACGCTGGTAATTGTGGACGCTTATGATGTAGAGTTAATTACATTAATTATCTACGTACTATATCTTACAGTGAAGCCGTTGTTACTTTTAAACCGATGGAATAAAGTTATAATTTTGACAAAAAAAATTCATACGTATAAGTTACAATAAGTTTGATAATCGACCAGAATATCGTTTGATTTTTTAAAAATTGTGAATGAATACATATAGATTTAGTTTATATCTAATATATGATAGAGAAGGACAGACATATCACGGCGCTATCGACCTATTTTGGCTTTGGATATTCGGAAATCCACAGACTGAAACCGAAACGCGATTAAGCTTTACGCCTTTTTTATCTGTAGCCCGGTCGGAATTCCTATATTCATGCCACCCAGTTAATATCCAGACTTCCAGACGAAGTCCAACATGTTTCAGAAGAAATTATAAATTGAAAATTTCGAAACAGCTTGGACCCGTTGGGGATCGAAGTCACAACCATTATTATTAGCCATACATTGATAACCAACGAGCCCTTCCATTCGTCAATTAAGTACATCAATATTGTTGTATTCGAAAACAAACACAAATCTTATTGTCCTATACAAGAGAACAGCAATTTACGTCGTATTAAATGTTTTATAAATAGGTTCGTTATAGCCACTAAACAATTCAAGCTGAGTTTCCAGCTCGTTGTATGAACAATACTGTACAATAACACAGCAGCAATTAATGCAGCGATGTTTACATTTTAAGATCCCAGCGTGCACCGATAAAAACACAACGAGCAGTATTTACAATTTAGTAAGAAACTTCTTAGTTGAGACCAAATTAATCTTCGTGACCCAAATAAATTTCGGCATCCGTCACCACGAGGGCGCCACAAAAAAATTCAACAATTTTAATTGGCGTAAAGGTTTGGAGTTTCTTAACATAAAAACGTCAGTGTCGAATGTAGATCTTCACACTTGACATCTGCGGTTCATTTTGACCATATTAGTGATGTTAGAAAGACGAATTAGGAATAGCATTTAATTAAGACACTTTTAATGGTTTAGAACGCAGACTTTAACTTATTTTACTACTACCTAACATTTCAGATGATTTGCGGCTAAATCACGAATAAATTAATACATTTCAAGTTTTAAACCGCCAAAAATGTTTTATTTAAACAATTTAGACATTTTTTTAGGTTTAGGTAAAAATGGATATTGAACATTTTCTCACTGTCTTACTCGTACCTACTATAAAATTAACAAAAATATATCCACGTATCCATTTGTATACGGCGTATTACATACATTATTATTTCACATTTTGTAGACGCGTTTTTCTCAAATTGACATGACCCTTTTATATATGTTGAAATTATGACTCAGCTAGACTTCACCGAATTAATTGAACAAATTAAGACAAACCTGTTAAGCACGTGTCGGCGTGAATAAAGTTGATTAATTAAAGCATTTCTTTTATATTCGTCCTAAGCGCGATGTCGCTAGACACCCTTCATAATATTCTAGAAAATTCGAGGCGTGTAAAATGCATGAAGAGCACGCAGTATAAAATAAGAGACGTTATTGATTCTGGGCGCGGGCTGTGGGAAATTCCTGCCTGCTTAATAGATGCCCTAAGGAGTCAAGCAGCTCCCTCTTTGTTCAGACAATAGGCGCTTATAAAACACAGAGAAGCGTGTCTTAGGGATTTAAGGAACAATTTTTACTACAACCCGCTTAAAAATGTCGATGTATAACCACGATATTGCGATTGATGTTTCTTACTCTATCACGGTTAAACGGTTAAACCAATAATGATAAAACTTGTATGTCTAATAAGCTGTTACAGTAAAAACGCTTTAATCCCAAAAAAATGAGCGAGAAATTTTGTGATCACTATACTCTTAAAAACATTTTTTTTATTTCCTAGATTCGAACTGATCAGTGAAACGGATACAGAAAGAAATGGGGAAAAGAAGCGAACCCCTTGACCACCATGGGAAAGAGGATTTCACTAAGATTCGAACCCTGAACCTTACATTCTTAACGTAATGTTAGGCGACGCGTTTAACCTTTAAGGTATAGAAGCGGTTGATTATCAATTTTTCTACAGATTTCTCAACGCGAATAAATAACTGTTAAAAAAATTACTTTGTCTTTACACTTTTCTATCTCAGAATAGCTTTTAGATATTGACGTAGGTACAACATCGCGCATCTACTTTGTGATCGGATGTAACATAAAGGCTCGAAACGTATTCAAAAGTACTAACTACAGTTAGCGAAGGATGTTTATTA